GAAACAAAACCCCCAATAAATTCAAGACAGAAATTGCACCTGCAAATGCCATGCGCAGGCTATCTTGATTTTGTTATATTTTTAATTTTTGAGAATTAATTTTGTAAATATTTTATTCCCATTTTAATGGGGAGTTAATAGATTCTTTTAGTTTAGGGGTTAAAATCTTCAAACCTTTAAGTTTATGGGCTAAAAGTTTCATAATATAAAGTGAGAGTTTAAAAACTTCAAAATTATAAAGATGAAGGGCTAAATGCATATTTTAGCCCAATAAACTTTATATAGAAAATGCATATCAATTTTGATTAAAAAAATTAAAATTCTAACTTTAAACTATCATTTTATTTAATTAAAATCTAATTTAAAATTTAAATATCCATATCATTAAACGTTGATATCTAAATTAAAAAACTAAATATATTAAAATATATAATTAGTTTTCAAATTTAAGTATTAAAATTAGAAAAGATAAATTTTTTAATTTTAAACTGAATTTTAATTGAATGAAATGATATCATTAAAAATTGAGATTTTAACTTTTTTTTAAAATAAAAACTGATATTTATTATTTTTTATACATATATATATAAGTATGGCCGGAGTATATAAACCCTAATACTCAATATTTCACTCAATACTTGAGAGATATATATTTTTTATATCTAATATTTAACCATCTATTTTCAAATATAAATAAAATACTTATTCAAAGACATCATATACCCACAAATATAAAATTTACATATGCCCGATGCTCAGCCCTACGAATTGGGTAAGCCTAAATTATTAGCACGTGCTGGACCTGCTGGTGCCATACAATGCGAGTTTGACCAGACTACAAAGGAAAGAACATTTTAAAGCCCATAGCGATTGAATCTGGGCCAGCTCATAAAGCAAACTGAGAAATGAGAAAGGCCTGATGAATAAAATGTGGGCCTGATCCTCAATATTATAATATGGATCGGTTATATTGCTTCATAGCCTGGGAGTCCGTAGTTTTGTTACTGTTGTTGTATTTTGAATTTTGAATTATAAAATAAAAAATTATTAAACGAATAAAGCTTAATATATTTTTATTAATAATCACCTAAACAATTCAGTGGTAATAGGACGATGAGCATGATATGGAAGTTGATACTGCTACCTCTTCACTTCAAGCTTCTGCAAAACATCCGTTGCCGGAGCTGGAAATCTACTGCTACTTGCTGGTCTTGATATTTCTGATTGATCAAAAGAAGTACGATGAGGTTAGTGAACAAATTGTTTCATCAAGGATCTTTTTCTGTTTCTTTTACATAAGTAACATAACAATCGTTGCTTTAGGCAAAAGCTTGCTCCTCTGCAAGCATTGCTCGGCTGAAGAACGTGAATAGGAGGACTGTTGATGTTCTAGCTGCTAGGCTTTACTTCTAC